CCTCGTCGTGACTCTCCCACACCATCTCCCTGGGGTGGGGCGGCAGCCCCTTGACCCACAGACGTGGGCAGGTCGCTGGGCAGGTCCGCTTGCCACCCTGCAGTCACCTCCTCCAGCTCTGCAGGCCCTGGGGGTTCACAGGGCACATCGCACCCCCAGCTTTCCCGGGCGGTGGCCTAGCTATCTGAGCCAGGCACAGAACGGGACAGGTGTCCCGCCGGGAACAGCCCGGCCCCTGGACCGCGGACCAGCGAGCTGGGCAGAGGCGCCAGGCCCCAGCGTCGCAGCTGCAGCCGAGCGCCGGCCACCAGGTGGCGCCATGCGGCACCTGCCCCGCCCCCGCCGCCCGGAGTCCAGCCGCGGCCTAACCCTCCACTGCGGGGACCCCGACGGCGAGGGCGGGGTCCCCCTCTGGGACGCCCGGGCACCACTCCGACCGGTCGCTTCTGCCGGACCGTGTCCCCAGAGAGCCACCCCGAAGGAAGGAGCATGCGGGAGGCGGTGTCCCCTCGGTGGGACACGTAGCAACACAAGAGACGCAGTGAGGTCGCAGCGGGGTCGCATCGCGCAGCGCCACATCGGCGCCTGGCCACTTACACCCGCGCGTTTGTTCGTGGGCGCCCCGCCTGGTCAGAAAGGGAGAAGTAAAAGTGGCAGAGAAGTGGGGGCGTGCCAGTCTGCTTGGGCTCCGGTCCCCAGGGGTTCGGTGGGACCATCTGTCCTGGCCCCGCACCGTGACCGGCCCCGCAGTGACCAGCAGCACCGAGGCCCAGAAATGCCAGGGCAGGGCCCACTCCGAGGCCTGCGGGGCTACCAGCGCCTGTTTCACCGAACCCGAGGAGGGCGATGATGGCTCCAGGCCACCGGGACCCAGAACGAGAGTCCCGAGGACATCCCCGGGGTGCTGGCCAAGCCAAGACTCCGCGGGGCTGGAGTGCGTGTGGACGGCGCGGCACTGGGCCCCGGGTGCAGCACTGGGCCCCGGGCCCACCGAGCTGCGGGACACTGCGGAGAACGCAGAGGGCCTTGTTGGGTCGTGGGGACCACCCGCTTCGAATGAGCACCGCTCCAGCGCCACCCACAAAGCTTAAAAGAAAGAGCGGACGGACCAGACCGGTTCCCTGCTGCCCCGGAGTGCCGCCGGGAGCAAAGCCCGAGAGCGTCTGCGGATTCGGAGCTGCCCCGCTCCGGCGAAGTGGAACCACGGCTGGCCACCCCCGAAGACTGCCCAAGCGCACCCCAAAATGGGTAACCTCACTGGGAGAGTGGGGTGCACAGCCAAAACCCTTCTCATGAAGAAAAGTCCGGCTCCCGACGACGGATGCCAGCAAACAGCGAGGCAGAGGCAGGGCCCTGTGCGGGTGGCTCGCCGGCCACGCGGGGGGAGGGTGGGGGACAGGTCGGGGGCGTGACGGAACGCTCGCCAGCATCGCAGAAAAACCATCCGCCAGTGTCCCTCACCGCACAGACACAGACATTCTTAGCAAGTCAGTTCTTAACTGGGAAGGTTTAACAACCCAGGCACAGCAATGCGTGAAAGCACCAGGTGCGGTCTACAGGCGAGTGGGGGGTGGGCTAGGCGGTCAGGCTAGTTCACCGAGCAAACTGAAAGAGGAAAACCACACGGCCATCTCCACAGACTTTTTCAAAAAGCATCTGACAAAACGAGCATCCATTCCTGACTAGAAACAAAACCAAAAATCAAAAACCCTCTCAGCCGAGTAGGTGTGGACCGACCTTCCTCAATGCACGGAGACTGGAGAGGGGTGGGGGGGGACGAACAGGCCTTCAAGCACAGGGGGCCACTGGTTATACAAAACTCTGACTAAATTCTGCCTAGAAAAATAAAAGTTGCAGATAACTTTAATGCTCATGGCAAGAACTTTACAGAAGAAAATCTGCATCCTAGGCTTTCGACAGATCCCACGAAAAGGCTCTTTGCTCTTTGCTCCTCAGGACCTTTGCCTTGCTGTGTCCACCGGCCCTAAGCTAGCACCCAGGACCCTCACCCAAGCCTAACCAAGCCTCCTCTTCATTGGACACCCCAAACCTCCAGTTCCCCCACCCCGGTCTAGTACTCTGCAAGGACGCAGTCAAGGACACACTCAGCACTGTCTTTGGTGGCGTTTTCAGGGGGCCCATAGTTGACATTTCTGAGAAGCCCCAGAAAGGAAATGTCACCCTCCGATATTAAATGATTTATTGTGAATGGACGCACTGACTTTGGGGAGATGAGGCCGAAACCATCAGCCTTAGTGATAACATAACGCTGGGGACCACTGTGCCCACTGTCCTTCAGAACCACCCAGGAAGTGGAGACGCAGCCGCACGGGCAGGTGCAGGGACCAGAGCCGCGAGCGGACAGCAAAGCAAGCACTTCAGCGCAGAGGGACTCGAAGCAGGTCTGCTTCTCAGGCGTCCTGGCTGGTTGGGGCCCAGGTGCCTCTTTGTCACACTGACTCACATAAACTGTCACAACCCCAGGCACAATTTAGTTCTCAAACGTTTTTATAATCTCCGTCAAGACACACCATTCTGAAAACACACCATTCTGTGATCGCCTCGATCCTCGGCCTTTACGTCCAAGTTTCCCATGGACGAAACACAGTGTCATTCCAAGGCCAGACCCGGAGATAACGTGGACTCCTGCCAGAAGCCCCGAGGAGCACTTTGGGGTCCAGCCTCCTGCTTCCAATCAAAGCAGCTCAGCAAACCTGTCCTCCAGAAGAGAGGACACAAACACGACTTGGTCCCCAGTACTGCTGCTGGGAAGATAGCCTTGGGCCGCAGGGAAAACCCTGGACATTCACGCTTGGTGCGGATGTCCTGAGAAGGCATCTAAAAGGGGGAGAGAACCCCCAGGACTCGGGGGGAAAAGGCGGAGTGGGCATCCCAGAGCCGGGAGCCCTGGGGCTGGATGGGCTGGTGTCGGCCGTCCTGTGGCACCCTTGGCCTGGCACACCCACAGCTCCTGGCCCTAACCCACACCCAGCTCTCACCCAGATGACCTCAGGGACGCTGACAGGGTGCAAACCCTTTTATTAGCTCACACGCAACTGTTTACCGGGAAGTTATGAGAGCTGCGGAGCACACACACTCCCCTCTACTCATATTCACGGAAGTGCAGCAGAGACCTGAAAAGCCAAGTCCCTACGTGACCTCCGCCCGGGGGCTCCGCACCCACGCATGGCTGTGGGTGTCCTTCCTGGTCACAGATCTCTCTGTGCGTTTTTCTCTAAGGTGGCACAGAGGCAGAGCCTGAGACCACACACGCGGAAACCCTGCCTGCTTCTGTGTCAGCCTGTTGGGACAGAGCCAGCTCAGGATGCCAGATGGTCCTGTCACTTAGACCCCGAGTCCTTGGCACTGACTATGGTAGCACTCACAGGCTCTCCCTACCCTGAGTCCCTGGGCTGGAGCTTTACTGGGAAGAGTAACCAGTCCAACCAGCTTCAGCAGCTCAGAGAAGCCGCGGTCACACCTGTCTGTCTCCCCTCTACTCACATTCACGGAAGTGCAGCAGAGACCTGAAAAGCCAAGTCCCTACGTGACCTCCGCCCGGGGGCTCCGCACCCACGCATGGCTGTGGGTGTCCTTCCTGGTCACAGATCTCTCTGTTCAGACTCACTGGCCCAGACACAGTGCTCAAAGCGGTGGCTTGTGAGGACAATTGGCTCCTGCCCAATGGCTCAGAAAGCAGCACCTCTCGTTGACCTGACATCCCCTTGGGCACACTCACCGGCCTTTCCTGCCTGCTGTGCTCTGCGGGCCCTCCCTACCATCAAGGACACGAAAAGGGCAGAGGTCTCATTCTCTTTCCTCCTCGAAGTTCTTTGGTACATCCCTTACCTGGGGGGGGGG